TACTCTAGTGGTTGTGTAGTGTTTGGGGTTTTTGTGTGTGTTGGTTTTTTACACAATACCTCATTAAATACATTAATCTTGAAGAAATGAAAGCACTGGGAGATATTTAATCCTTAAACATATAGGAAATATAGAAAGTATAGAAAGAAAGAAATGAAAATAACAGAATAGAAAGGATGAGACTTAGCAATGTGGAAAGAAGAAAATTTCTGGTTGGGAAATAGTCATTGTTCAGGGTATTTAATGTTGCCAGTATAGTTGACCTTTTCTTGCAAACATTTTTTTAGTTAAGAGAAACAGCTTCTCTATAAAAACCTCAAACGTTAGGGGCCTGAATGTAATGGCAGGGGAAAGAGGAGGATGTTAATGATTTAGTATGGGCTAAAGAGAAGGAGCATCCTAATAGAACTCTCCGGACCGGCTGGTGGGGCTCAGTGATTGAGCTAGACCCCTGCACCCAGAGTTGCTGGTTCAATTCCCAGTCAGGGCACATGCCCAGGTAATGGACCAGATCCCCAGTGCGGGGCCTGCAGAATGCGGCCAATCCGTGTTCTCTCTCATCGATGTTTCTAACTCACTCTTTCTTTCCTTTCCTCTCTCTCTAAAAATCAATAAAGAAAAAAAAATTTTTTTAATTGCACTCTCCCTTTTCTAAGGAGTTAAAAGCTGATGTAGAAGAAAAGGTGAGGAGATTTTGACTTCTAATATAGTCCCAAGGTTACAGGGTCTGGGGTAAAGTGGGGCATAGGGCTTTTCTACTTAGTTTAAGAGGTTGGTGTGAATTACTTAGAAATGGAGGTAAAAGAATGTTTAGATAAAAATAGCAGATAAGCCTAAAAACTAAGAATAAATTTAAGGTAGATGTCTATTTTGAATAATGTCATCATATTTGAACTGGAAATACCGTCCTGTTCATGACATTTAGTAACACCAATAATTAATATAGCAGTTTTAATGTAAAAATAATGTGTTTTAACTATATACACTTGAATAAGAAATTTTATTAAAGTATCACTATTGGGTTGTTAACAGAAATCCCACTCTTGGTGGAAAAATATTTAAATTTCAGACAAAGCACCAACATATTTTATAGTGTTCAAGAAATCATAACATTGGAAACAAATTTATATATTTATAACCAAGGTCACAGCACAAACAGAACATTCTTTCTGGGCTTGTATTTGTTTTTTTCCTTTAACTTATGAAATAGCAGCAGGATGGAGAAAAGGAGAATAAAAATGATAAAATGAAGAAAGTGACTCATTTAAATTAGACTGGCTATTTTATCTTTTGCTTATCCAAAGAGTTATATCCTGAATTTATTTTAAAAATCTGTTTTGAAAATCACGTATTTATAACTTTCACATTTAGAAATGTGATTCTTTAAATCAAAATTAAGTTATATTGAAATTAAAAAATACTAATTTTATTCTTTGCTTCTTGCTTTTCAGAGAAAGAGGGAGGGGGAGGGGGAGCGCAGCACTGATGGAAGACCACAGCATGGGTCGCCTGCCTCCCGCACGCCCCCAAACCAGCAACCGCCCGGTATGAGAGACAACGCCCAGCCAACTGAGCCGCACTGGCCAGGGCCAAAACATACTAATTTTAAACAAATTACATTTCTGAGGCAATATAGGTAGATAATGCACACCTATAGAAACTGTTCACCTTGTCCACATCTAACACATTAATATGGACCCTCATCATCAGTTATATACAATTAAATCTAGTTTAAGAACAATAGAGTTAGTAAGGAAACTTGACACATGTGTCACAAATTCTTTCTAAGTTAAATATAAGTAATTGGGAATTATTACTTTCTGAATTACCTTTTTACTGCACATAAGTGAGAGTTGACAGGATGGTAAAAAAAAAAAACAAATTCCACGACATTCTATCTTGCAACATTTTTTCCCCATGAGACTGAATTTAACATTTATTACAAACTACAAATCAGACTTTCAAGAATTAACTTAGCTTCAATTTCTTTTATAATTCTGTTAATAAGTTCATAATGAAGTTATAAGATGATTATTTGGAGTTATGAAAGTAGCTATCTGAAGACTAAATAAAGAAACGATCAAAAGCTTCTGCACATAGAGGATGAGGGAATGATGTCTAGATGACTTTTTATTTCATATTATTCAATATTATTGATTTTCTTGTCACATATTTAGATTACTTTTTGTAATTTTATCTTATTTATTTATTCATTTTTATTCATTTATTTTGTTACAATAAAAGACTTAAATGTGACTCATGAATCCATAAAATTCCTAGAAGAAAATGTAGGCAACCAAATTTCAGACATCATACACAGCAGAATTTTCACTGATACATCACCTAAGGCAACAGAAACAAAGGAAAAAATAAACACATGGGACTACATCAAACTAAAAAGCTTCTGCACAGCAAAAGAATCAACCACCAAAATAGAAAAGCAACCCACTGTATGGGAGAGCATAATTGCCAATAATACATCAAATAAGGGGTTAATTTCCAAAATATATAGAGTGCTCATACAACTCAACAAAAGACAAAGAACCCAATTAAAAAATAGGCAGAGGAACTAAATAGACACCTCTCCAAACAGGACATACAAATGGCTAAGAGACATATGAAGAAATGCTCAACATCACTAATCATCAGAGAGATGCAAATTAAAACAACAATGAGGTATCACCTCACACCTGTCAGAATGGCTGCAATCAACAAATCATCAAACAAGTGTTGGTGAGGATATGGAGAAAGAGGAATCTAGTACACTGCTGGTGGAAATGCAGACTGGTGCAGCCACTATGGCAAATACTTTTTGTTTTTTAATCCTCACCTGAGGATATTTTTCCATTGATTTTTCTTTTCAGATAGAGTGGGAGGGGGAGAGGGTGGGAGAGAGAGAGAGGTAGAGAGATCAATGTGAGAGAGACACATCAATTGATTGCCTTACGCAAGACCCCAACCAGGACAAGGGCCAGAGATCTAACTGCAACCAAGGTACGTGCCCTTGACCAGAATCGAACCCGCAACTCTTTGGTCCAAGGGCTGATGCTCTAACAGCTGAGCCAAACCAGCTAAGGCTATTTAGATTACTTTTAAAATAATTTTAAATATTGGTACTTTACATTTATGAACAAATGTATATGTACAGTACATATGCAATTTTATAAAAGCTACACCAAACATTGGCTTTACTTATCTCTGGAATATGGATCGAAATGAATTTTGTTTTCTTTTGGCTTTTGTCTATTTTTATTTTTTCCAAATAGTCTTATTTACTATGTCATGCTTTATTAATAAAATAACAAATTGATTTTAAAATTAAACACACACAAACAAACTAAACTGAACCGCAAATTTGGGGAGAAATATTGTGAATTGCCATGTCATTGCATGATTGGCCAAGTAGTAATTGATTCATTGTGAAATGCTGACTGATTAAAAGGCTATTGGAGATTAGAATGGTAGACATTTAAGAAGTTTCCTTAAAGGGGATGGGAGATTTGTAAAGATAAATTTAAAAAATAAATAAAAGCAATGGTTAGCTTTTAAAAAAAAGATAATGCTCATTAAAATTATTAAAATGTGGTGATTGATTAAACTTGCAACAGTTAACAATAAAGAAACATTTTGAATTTTATGAGCCATAGCAAAGATTTTTCAATTTGGTAAAAAAAGATTTAAAAGATAATGACAATAAAAAATAATAATTATTAATATTATTTTCAATAAGATAAGAATCCAAATAGTCTGGTTGGTTGTGATGATACAGCAAATAATTTTGAATGTGTATTCCCTTTGAAATAGTTATTTTACTTCTAGAAATTAAGCTTACTGGCAAAGATGATGAATCAGGAAGAACTTAGGCTTTGGCATCAGCCTAGTTGGTGTGAATTCTAACTTATACTTTATGGGTATTAATCAGTTTGAAAAACAAAACCTAGTTATTTTTTAAACTGTAATATGTTTTCTCATCTAAAATAAGAAGTTAACATTCCTACTCTGCAAATTAAAGAATGCGTGTAGCATAAGAAATATGTATATAAAATGTCTAGCACATAATAGATACTAAATAAAAGCAAATATGATTATTCTGTATAGGGGCTAAGATTTATCATTCATTACAAAAGTATATTTATAAAAATTTAGAAAATAGAAATTGTTTAAAAGAAGTATGACATGTGAAATAAGACATTATGTAGCCATTAAAATCATGACCTAGCCCTGGCCAGTTTAACTCAGCGGTTAGAGCGTTGGCCTGCGGTCCAGAGAGACCGGGGTTTGGTTCCCACTAAGGGCATGTACTTTGGTTGCAGTTTGTCCCTGGCCCTGGTTGGGTCATGCGGGTGGCAGCCACTCGATGTGTCCCTTTCACGTCGATGTTTCTCTCTCTCTCATCCTCTCTCTCCCTCCCGCTCTATCTGAATAAAAAATGGAAAAATGTCCTCGGGTGAGGATAAAAAAAAATCGTGTCATAAAAATATTTAGATGTCACAGAAATATATTTATGATTTGTTAAACACAATGCTACAAAATATTGTTGTATGATCCCATTATCACTTTTTAAAAATATATACCAACAGTCTGGCTTATGTGGTTCAGTGGTTGAGCGTCGACTCATGCACCAAGAGGTTGCTGGTTCGATTACCGATCAGGGCACATGCCCAGATTGTGAGCCAAATCCCCCTGGGGGGCATGCAGGAAGTAGTCAGTTGATGTTTTTTTCTCATCGATGTTTCTATCTCTCTCTCCCCTTCCCTTCCTCTCTCTCTAAAATCAATAAACGTATACATATGATTTAAAAATATGAGCCAAATATATTGTGACTGTCTCTGGGTATTAGGTAAAAATTTTTTTTTCTTATCCTGATTTTCCAAATGATAATTTAAACACATACTTTTGTGTCAAGAAAACATAATTCTTCATCATCTTTCTTTGTCTTGACTGAGACAGCCACCTTGCTTGTGTTGGAGAACCCTCCCTGCTTCAGATTTACCAACAGCATGAATCAAGGAAAGTTAGCCAATCCTCCGGCTCAGGTCTGGGTAGCAGGCAAGGGTATAGCTTGCCGAAAGAAGAAATAGATACAGCTGATGATAAAAACTTCAGGGTTCTCTGGAAAAAAAACTTGCTGTGAATAGTATAGCTGGTATTGAAGAGGGCAACATAATTAAAGATGACGGGACAGTTATTCATTTCGACCATCCCAAAGTCCAAGTTTCCCTTTCTGCTAACACCTTTGCAATCACCAGTCATGCAGAAGCCAAACCAATCACAGAAATGCTGCCTGAAATACTAAGTCACCTTGGTGCTAACAGCTTAACAAGTCTTAGGAAGTTAGATGAACAGTTCCCAAGGCAAGTGTTGGACAGCAAAGCACCAACACCAGAAGACATTTATGAGGAGGAGGATGTTCTAGATTTTGGAGAAAATGTGAACGAGGCACCAAAGCATGAAGCTAACTAACATCTTTTCTTGTTTTTGGAAGCTGACATGGACCAGATTTAAGAAATTAGCAATGTGGCCCCAGAGTATTGCAGACACGGAGAACAGCAACTGTGACTAGTTCAGTAATATAAATAATTTGTATATCAATCATGCTGTTTGTCAGCATTTTTCAGTCATTTGATTTTGTATTTTTCACTTTCTCCCAGAATCTAGTCTGTTGATCAAAATACAAAGTATATTGGTACAGTTTGAGGGTGTTTTGATTTTGATTCTTGTTTTTTTACATGTTTGTTTGTTTGTTGGTGGTATTCTTGGTACGTGTATGTGTGAGTATGTGTATAACAGTGGAGAGAAAATTGGAAAACAATTCTATTTATCCTTCTTCCTTCCCCCAGTAGAAATAAAACAAATCTTTACATTAAAAAATACATAATAAAAACTATATTTTAAAAAAAATGAGCTAAAATACCTAAGTTTCTGTATTATATATTCTAGGGAGCATGGTAGTTGATTAATTTGGAAATGCTATTTATTATTCTTGAATTTACAGTGATTTGGGGTAATATGTAAGGCCAAACATTGTAATCCATTTCAAACATTATTAGAAGAACATTATCAGAAATTACTCTCAATAATATCAATTCTGAGTATATTAATGAGTACATGTTATGAAAGAAAAATCTGTAACTATCCAGAGGATTTTGGAATCAAAAGCAATAAAGTAGTGTGACTTATGAAAAATAAATCCAGCCAGTCAAATTCAATAAAATGTTCCTCCAATGTAATAACAGAATTAGTGGATTACAAGAACACATTTAAACAAAGTATGTCATAGAATAACTTATGAAGTTTGCTCATAGAATTAATTCAAAGTTGCTGTAGAGGCAATTCTCTGTCTGAAAAACTGAAGACAGAAAGTAATAATAAATGATCATATTTTAAAGAATGAGGAGTTATTTGGTGGAAGTAACATGTACTGTAAACTGCCTGATTTTATATCTGTATTTGTGACCTAGAATTGGAAAATAAGTAGTGCATTTATAAAAAGCACTGCTCATGCTAATTTGAGAAACCTTACAACTTACTCACTGGGAAAAAAGTTACACCTGTAAAGCTACTAATACAGAAAATTATATTGCTAAAATATGTTTTTATTTTTTATTTGGTTCAGTAATTTTTAAAAAAAAAAACTTTGATTTTTTATTAATTAATTTATTTTTGTTATAGATAAATTGCTAAGATCTGGAAACAGCCCAAGTTTTCATCAATAGATGAGGGGATAAAAAAGCTGTGGTACATATAAACAATGGAACACTATGCAGCTGTAAATGTATTGTTTTTAAGAGAAAGCAGAGGAAAGAAGTGAAGGAGAAAATATATTCACTATTGTTTAGACAAAGGTAATAGCTGGCCATAGGTAAGTACCGAAAGAACCACATCTGCATAGACCCACCGATCCTCAGTTCAGCCTTAGGAAGTGGATTTTATTCTTTCCATTTTACAGATGAGGACTCTGAGGAACAGAAAGGTTAAATAATTGGCCCAAGGTAACATAGTAAGAGGCAGAGACCAAATGTGGTTTAAAATGCTTTTCTTTATTCGAAATTCCGTAACACTGCACTGTGCTGCAGTAATTGCAAAGGGGTTCTCAGTGTGTATCACCACCTAACCTGCCCACCACCTTTTTAGCACAACCAAGGAGCTGTATTGATGGAGTAAACATGACTTACAGAGGTTGACTTACAGAGGTTGACATTGAATTTGGATTCTAGGTCTCAAAGCCAATACTTTGTATACCTTTCAAGCAACTTTTAAAATATGTTACATGAGCCCTAGAGAAGGATTATTTAAAAAAAGTCTGAATTGCATTTGACGAGACACTGTGATTGGGTTGGACAAGAGCAACGCTGTCTATAGAGACTCACCACCTTGTGCAAAGACTGCCCAGTCCTCCTAGTCAGAGGATCCTGAAGGGAGGGAGCGTTGGGCTTTCTCCTTTGCAAGTCATTTCGTATCTTAAAACTACTGCTCAACGATGCCCCTCCCGCTGGAATCACTACGTTTAGCACTGTAATAGGGAGAAAGAAAAGCCCGTATTCTAGAGAACAGCAGTAATTTTCAAGAGATGCAACACAGCTTATGACAGTGGAACAGCTGGGAGAAAAAAAAATCTAAGGAAGAGAAACTTGCAAAGAAGAGAGTAAAGAGAAAGGAGGGAAGCTCTTGTAAAATAAGGATCACCTTGCCCGGACGGTGTGGCTCAGTGGTTGAGCGTCAACGCATGAACCAAGAGGTTGCCAGTTCGATTCCTGGTCAGGGCACATGCCCAGGTTGTGGGCCCGATCCCCAATGGGGGGCATGCAGGAGGCGGCCAATCAATGTTCTCTCTCATCAATGTTTCTATCTCTCTCTCTCTCCCTTCCTTCCTCTCTCTAGCATCAATAAAGAAAAAAAATCTTAAAAAATATTTAATAAAGGGCACCTCAGTCACCCAGCCCCTCTGCAGACAGTTGAAAAACCTGTCACTCCTCAAAAGGGCTGGAACTTAACACAGTAGCCGGAGCAACTGCCAGGACCTCTTTTTTTTTTGTTGTGAGGAGTGCCAGTCTCTGGGCATGATGCTGCCCTCTGCCCGTGCTGCTACCTTGAAGTGGAAGTCTCCCGGTAAAGGATGACAGTGCCTGGGGAATGACTCCTTGCCTTTTTTTTTTAAGCAAGAAGAAATCCAGGGCTCTGAGAAAGAATATAAAATCTAAGTTAAGCTCATTGTTCCTGCTGCCCAAAAGTTAAGGGGAAATGTAGGCTGACTCACTACCGGGGTAAATCAGAGCGGTTCAAACTTAGTCCTGAAACTTGACTTTTGCATCCACTTGCCACTCAGAAGTTAATTGGACAGTAGCGATGCAACACCAGTGAGAAGGATGCAACACCAGTGAGAAGCAAGCAACACTTTCGGCCTCCTACTAGCATCACTATTAAAAGACCATTTGTGGTAACCATGTTAAATTCACATCTGAAATATTGTGGACACACCATTCATTTTTACTCCACTTCATTCTGGGAAGACTCCTGATCCACAGACTGTTGCAAAGCAACATCCTTGATTGATTCTATCTGCTCTCATGTGCAACGCTTGGCTGAACAAATGTTTTCCTTTCATTTATTCCTTTAAAAAAATCAACTATCTTCCTATCTGTTTCCCTTCTGTCTGAATTTGTGGGGTGGGGGGTGCCAGGAGTGCTGTGTCTGCCAGCAGGTGGCCAGACACTAGATCCATCTCTCTCAATCAGCCTGTCCCCATCTGCTAGCTGGGATCTCCATGTGTTCCTTCTGCTTATTACAGCAGCTGAGCCTCACACTGGGTTCTTTGTGGGCTTCAGGCAGACGCTTAACAAGGTGAGCCAAAGGGAGCCTGGCCATTAGGAGCTGTGTTAAGATGGCCTCAGCTGGAATCTGTTTTTCTTATGTTTTTCAAGTGTTTGCCTACAGCTTCCCCTGATAGCTTTACCACCGGACCTCATTGGGGCATCCGTCAGACGTGGAGAGGATACTTAATACTTCAAACAAAAATGCTTATGCCATGCTATTGTTTTAGGCTTTATGTCTGATTTTGAGTTTCAAAATGTTTTAGTGATGATCAACACCCTGGCTTAAGCATTGTTGATTTTGAAGGGGATTCTTAGTAGAGACTTTAAGGATAATCACATCTGGAACTATTATAGGAAGAGATCTGGAATCGGAAATGATACATCCCAGGGTTCAATGTGCATTAGTGGTGGTGCAGCCTCAGGACATGTTCCTATTGATTAACAACAATCATTCCAAGGGAATTTGATGGACAGGGCAGCTCCCAGGAGGGTAATCCACACTCAGTACAGGGTCTGCCACAGGCTAACCTGTGCCAACAAACACAATAATTATCTAAATTGCTTTAACATTTTACCTTAAGTTCAGACATTTCCTGAAATGGATTTACATCTTCGAAATCTTCTTTAAGCACATTTGATCCTCTTCGTTTTCTATTCCTATTCTGTGCATGCTTGGGTGATACTATAGGTAGTGGGAAAATGAGGGAGGGAGGAACCATTTCTATAAAAAATAATCATTAAAAATTGTTTATGTGGGGTTCAATCGAGCAAGAGTCTGATAACTAGAAAAGGGCAGAGTTGGTCCAAATCATTCTTTTACAGAAAAAGCAGAAAGGCCTGGGTGTCAATATAATTACATGAAAGCATGTTTATTTAATTGAGGCTTGAAGTCTATGGGGGCGCCCAGCAGACACAAAGGCGAGACAGTCTCGGAAAACCATAGGCGGGCATTTGAAAAACACATGAAAAGCAATTTCCAGCTGAGCCCACTTTTGTCAAACATCATGGGGCACGGCCAGTTTTGGCTTTCCTGGTAGCATCTGAAGGCCGAGGAGCCCAGCCTCGGCCTCAGCCACCACGCTGTGACAAGATGTGGAACAGGGAGATGGGTGTCCAGATGGGAGAGTCTGTTAATTGGCTGACTGTGAATGAGGGTCTGGGCGCAGAATGTCAGAGGCATCCTTGCTGGCATCATCATTACTGATTCAAACTGCATGAGGGGTACCAAGGAGCTGCTGAGGGAGGAAGCTGAGCTGTCTGCAGACTTGAATCATGTCCCAACACTAGGGAATAAAATAAAAATGCACTTTTCTTGCTAAAGAACTTGAATCATATCCCAACACTAGGGAGTAAAATAAAAATGTGCTTTTCTTGCTAAAGTACTTGAAAATGCAGCTTTAACTCATTTAATATTATAATATGTGCTTTCTTGTCCATGTGTTAAAGCTATTCCTCTTTTTGTATTTCTTTTCCAAATTAGATATTTCCAGTATTCTTTTGTCCCTCTATCCCCAACTGCCCATTATGCTAGTTAAAAATCAGTTTTTATAGGTACAATTTGTGCCTGAAGATGTAAAGCCAACCTTAAACAATATTACTAGATACAGTATTTATGAAGCAGAAGAAACTTCTGTTTTATTATTATGGGCG